TGTGGGCAGAATCCGGCGTGGTATCAGGTGCCTCTGAGGCTGTTCCGCGTCAGACGGGTGAACCAGCTTGTTGGGATCGACCTACAGGGGCCATTCCCACGATCCCACTGAGGCAACCGGTATATTATCGTGGCGGTATTTCACGCGCTATCCAGTGGTGGTGTTATCCCCGATAAAACGGTCGTTGTGGTCACCCGGTCATTTGTGGAGCATTTCATGCTTAAACATGGGATCCCCGAACGAGTCATTACAGAACAGGGTAGCGAGTTCAAGGCAGAGCTATTTCAGGCACTGTGCCGGGAGTTCGGAATCCAAAAAAACAGAACTATGGTATACCACCCCAGGCGAATGGTATGGTGGAGCGTATGAACCAGACCTTAGCCGGGAAGTTCAAATGTATGGCGGCCGCCAATCAACAGGATTGGGATGATTCTAGATTTGAAGCTTCGTTACTGCAAGGATTCATATTCTTAGGTTTTTTCGGTAAAGTCACGTAGGTAAAAAATAAAACTTTAAATTAATAAAAGTAAAATGAAAAATAAAATAAAAATCGCGACGTTTCGGCGGCAACACAAGCTTTCGTCTTCAGGTGGAACCGTCACAGCACGATAGCTGTATCAAGTAAGAGAAATTCCAAGAAAACACTCCTTGTATATATACTGGTTGAGGGTGGGAGGAGCCAGGGTAGGACCTGGATATTATTATTGTGAGGTTCGGTGCGGCTGAAGCACGCTGTTAGGAATGAGCCTTAGTTGTGTAGACTGGTTGAACTCGGAGGTTCCAAGAGTTGTTAAGGTGCGGCTGATGTAAAGGTGCGTGTAAATGGGACTGATTCTTTTGTTATGTAGAGGTGGTGCGGCTGAAACCGCTGCCAGGAATGAGTCTTTGTTGTGTAGACTGGTTGAACTGGGAGGTTCTAAGAGTTGTTAAGGTGCGGCTGATGTAAAGGTGCGGCTGCTGTGAATGGGACTGAGCCTTTGTTATGTAGATGTAACAGCACTTTGCTACGGTGCTGGGATTAATTCTAGATTTGCCAAATATGTGTGGTAAAACTTAAAGTAGAAAAACTAGTGTGTGAAAAAGAAGAAGAAACTATACGGTAACTGAAGAATAGTGCCTGTCAAATAAGATGGTCAAAATGTGTAGTTAAATATTTTTTGCATGGTTAATAACATCTTTCCAATGATTACTAAGTTTGTACCCATCATCAGGGTTGAAATTATGTCTGTGTTTGTATATTTGGATGGCTTCGTGTACAAACCTTTGATGGTAGCCAGGAGGTTTGCAGAGCACCTAGGTCTCGGAAAAGACAATTTCATGAGAGCCCACAGCGTTGTATCAATGATCGGCAACGGCGGAAGAATCAGTTTTGCCGTGTTTCAGATCTGACTTGTGCTTGCGGACACGATCAGAGATATGACGTTTCGTTTCTCCAATGTAGCAATCACCACAACTGCAACTCAGTTTGTAGACTCCAGTGTATTGTAAGTCAGGAATGACATCTTTCACAGATGGAATTAGATCACGGATTGTATGTACTGTACTGAATCGGACTTGGATCTTATGTTTGTTTAGAATTTTGGAGATCTTTTTGGTCACGCCTGCTATGTATGGCAACGTGATAGTTTTGATCGGAGTTTCATGTGGCTGTTTCTGTATGTTGGGAGAAATAGCTTGGCGGATGGTGCGGTCAGATTATCCGTTCATCCTGAGGGCCCGATGTACATGTCTTAATTCACTGGCCAGGTGGTGTTTGTCAGAAATGCCATGTGCTCTGTGGTATAGCGTTTTGATGAGAGAATTATTTTGAGATGGGTGGTGGTGGGAATCAGGTTTCAAGTAGGAATCTGTGTGGGTGGCTTTCCTGTAGACAGAATATCCCAAGGATCCGTCAGGTCTCCTCTCAAACTTTTCCATGAACATGTTGGCTATCACTGGTGGCAGGGGGGAGCCCATAGGGGTACCCTCATTCTGTTTGTAGAAGGTGCCATTCCAGGTAAAATAAGTGTTGGTGAGGCAATGCCTAACCAGCGCAGGTACATCCGAATTCAATACATGTTGGACCAAGTCCTCAATTATTGTTAGGGTGTCAGGTACTGGGATTTTGGTAAACAGAGATACTACATCAAAACTGACGAGGATGTCATCAGGAGATAGTACCATGTCCTTGACCATAGAGACTAATTGGGTTGAGTTGAGTACTGCCGAAGAGGTCTTGCCTGTGAAGGGAAGCAGAGTATCTGATAGAAACCGGGCTAGTTTGTAGGTAGGAGAGTTTATCGTCGACACGATGGGTCGTAGCGGGCGGCCTTCTTTATGGATCTTGGGAAGGCCATAGAGTCTTGGAGGTCTTGCCGCCGATGGTTTTAAAGAGGGACGTTTGGTTGGTTCGATTAGGGAAGTCGAACTCGTGATGATTTTGTTAGTTTTTGTCGTTAGGCTGTTAGTAGGATCATTTTTAATTTTGGAGTAACTCCCATCATTAAGTAGGTCCAGGATTTTGTTGTTGTATGAATCTTTATCCATGATGACCGTGGCATTGCCCTTGTCTGCCGAGAGGATGACTATATCATCTCTATTTTTTAGGTCCGCAAGTTCAGAGCGTTCGTTTTTGCTAATGTTACTAGTGGGTTTCTTAGCATTCTTAAGAATAGTGGCTATTTCAGCTCTCGCTACATCCGCATGGATGTGTCCTATGCCTCCGAGGGCTACATCAATCTGAGAAATCACATCCTCTACTGGTATATATTTAGGGGTGACAGCGAAATTTAGTCCTTTGGCCAGTACCGTTTTCAGATTGTCATAAATTGGGATGTTACTCTGATTAATAACGGTTTTGTTGACATCCAGCTTTATGATGTGTGGCTCTGGTTTCTTCTTAGATAGGAGGTTGAATTTAGAAATCAGGTTAGCTTTGCATTTGGCTGACATTGAGTCAGCAGAAGCAGAAGTCATGTTGTCAACGTGGTTCCAATCGGAAGGGGAAATTTTTTGTGTTAAAATTAAATGTGTTTTTAAGAGAGTCTTGTCTAAATTATCGAGTTCAGATCGGAGTAACCTTATTCTCTCTGAGATTAGTGATAGGCTAGCTTTAAATAAAATCTGTTTAGAATTCGGTGAGGACACAGCAGCAGATGTGAGTGTGAAAGCGATGGGTATTACCTTCTTTTTGGTTCTTTCGGTAAAGTCTCGTAGAAGGGAAATAATAAAAAAATAAAAACATAATAAAATACAATTCTCACGACGTTTCGGCCACAACGCAAGCAGCCGTCCTCAGGTGAAGAACAGGTCTGTCGGAAAGACAGCGTCTGAATGAACACCACCAAGCTTGGCAGCGTATATTTAAGCTGGGTTAGAGGAGGAAGGGCTCCTTGAAAAAGGAATGTGCATATCAACAGAGGAATTTAGCATATTTATGGCAAATGCAGATATGGGATGAGTCACTACTTGTGGAATGCGTAGGAGGTAGGGGGGTGTCTCAAAGTCATATTATGCCCGTGCATTATGTAGGATTAGCAGCAACAAAGGGAGGAAGTAGGGTTAGCAGTAATAAAGGGAAGGCATTTTAATAGTAAGGAGCTGCAGCAGCCAAACCACCACGTAAAAAACTAAAATATAAACTACATCAATATAATCAATATACTAAATATACTCTCCAATAAGCTGTTCTGTTCCGGTGCAAAAGTGCATCTGAAAGCGCCGCGTGATGCACTGACCATCTTTGTTCCATGTCTGGCCAAAAGTGTAGTGTATAGCGTAGTGTATTGTAGTGCATAATGTAGTGTATAGTATTGAAGTGTGTAATAGTGTAGTGTATAGTAGTGTAGTGTACAGTATTGTAGTGTGTAATAGTGTAATGTATAGTAGCGTAGTATATAGTGTAGTGTATAGTGTAGTGTATAGTAGTGTAGTGTACAGTATTGTAGTGTGTAATAGTGTAGTGTATAGTAGCGTAGTGTACAGTATTGTAGTGTGTAATACTGTAGTGTATAGTAGCGTAGTATATAGTGTAGTGTATAGTGTAGTGTATAGTAGTGTAGTGTACAGTATTGTAGTGTGTAATAGTGTAGTGTATAGTAGCGTAGTGTACAGTATTGTAGTGTGTAATACTGTAGTGTATAGTAGCGTAGTATATAGTGTAGTGTATAGTGTAGTGTATAGTAGTGAAGTATATACCCACGGTACTCACCTCACACAGTACTCACCATACCCACCGTGAGGAGCGGTGGTGTGGTAGCGGTTAGTGCCGCACCATGCTACGAATCTGTCGACTTCGAGTTCGATTCCCGATCACAGCCAACACCGGCGTTGATGATTACACTATGTAACACAATATTTGTTCCTGGGTAGTAAGTGTTATTTCGTAATTGCCTATGCCCAAAAAGTGTAGAAAATGACTACAAAAGATTTAGAAGCGAGTAGTTTTTCGAGATTGATCCTCCCTACAGAGAACTCTTGTCCGCCGTGGGCAGTCCCGCCTGTGGTAGTGCGTCTTGGTGTCTAACACATCTTTTGTAGTCATTTTTGTATCACTTTAGTATAAATACATTAAAATATTGATTAATATGTTGTTGTTTTCTAACTTTGTGTGAACGAAAAGACACACATTCGCCCGTTTTCTCCTTGAAAATAGGTACATTTTAAAATATCAATGTCCTGGTCACTAACGCAAGATTTGTCGGCAAAAATATCGACTTTCTATACTTTTGAGGCATAAGCAATTAGGAAATAACACTTACTACCCAGGAAGAGTATTATCTGAATCTCTACCGGGCCTCCCCTAAGTCAACTCAGCCTCAAATGAGTACACCCCCCTCCCCGTGCAGTAGTGGTGTAGTAAAAATCGCCACTGAGACAAAGGCGGCCGGACGTGCGTGGTGCTGGCCACCCACCCCCTCTGTGTGTGCCACAGTGCGGGTAGCCTTCAATGGCTACTCGCTAACAGCACTTGACCCCCTTAGTCTTATAAGGCAATACGGGGGATATTTGTCTTTGTTTGTATACGTACGTGTGTGTATGTATATGTTGAAATGTTTATGTGTATGTGCGCTATTGGACACCTAGGTTCAATTGTTAATATTTACTCAGTATGAACGGAAACGGTTAACATATATTTCCATGCATTGCAAGCATCTATATAAGTCTGGATGTTTCTCTAGCCCTTCGAGAACATCGATGGCATTCTCAACCCTCAGCTATCTAGCCCCTTCTGGAACATCATCGTGAGGTCGTGATGATGGTGGTGATGGTGGTGGTGATGATGATAATGGTGGGATCTCTCTTCATCTTTACAACAGAGGTTGATGGTGAGTGTGCTGGTGGTGGTAGTGACGATGATAGTGGTGGTGATGGTGGTGGTAGTGATGGAGGTGAAGGTGCCACCCACTCATCCACCCACTCACACACTCACAAATCTACTCACCCACTCGGTCACCCACCCACCAAATCACCGACTCACTCACCCACTGATCACTCACTCACCCACCCACTTACTCATCCACCCACCCACGCACAGGGTTTGGCCACTTCCTCCGATATCTGAGGCTAGGCAATCGCCAAGCTCACACGCATCTCTCTCTTAGCCACTCAACCACCCATCCACTCACCCACTCACTCACCGGCCCACCCATCTTTGTCTCCCCACAGCCGCCTTGGTCTGCACTACTCCATTCAGCGACAAGTTCAAGGACGTTTCCGTGTCCCCCGGCGGGATCCTCATCGGCGTTGGAAGCGACAGAGATGTCAAAATCTGGTCCGGTTGCTCTTGGCGATTGATGGGGACGATGATTAATCAGATATCGATCGGTGGCCGAGGTCGGGGTCCCGCATCGTCCAGCGGAGACCTCTACGCGTGGGCGAGAACCGACGACTGGAACGTGTACTACTACTACGGACACGCGTGGTACCATGTGATGGGTGAGATGATGATTTACTTCTGCCGCTGCTACTATTATTAGTACCACTACTGCAAGCAGATTATTTTAAAGTAATACGCCCACTCACTCACTCACCCACCCACCCACGCACCCATTCACTCATTCACTCACTCACTCACTCACCTACTCAGTCACTCACTTATTCACCCACCAACCACCCACCCACTCACTTACCCACCCACTCACTCACTCACCCACTCACCGACCCACCCACTAATCCACTCAGTCATTCATTCATCCACCCACTCACTCACTCACTCACCCACTCACTCACTCGCTCACCTACTCACGCACTCACTAACCCAATCACTCACTCATCCACTAACCTATCCACTCACTCATTTTCCCATTCACTCACTCACCGACTCAGTCACTCACCTATTCACCAACCCACCCACTTACTCACCCACTCACCCACTCATCCACTCACTCACTCATCCACCCACTCACCCACATACCCATTAACCCACCCACTCACTAACCCACTCATCCATTCACTCACTCACCCACTCACTCACCCACTTACCCACGCACTCACCCAGTCACCCACTCATCCATTCACTAACTCATCCATTCACCCACCCACATACCCATTAACCTACCCACTCACTCACCCACTCACTCACTCATTCACTCACCCACTTACCCACGCACTCACCCACTCACTAAACCACTCACACACTCAATCATTCATCTACTCAACCACTCACCCACCCACCCGCTCACCCATTCACCCATTCACTCACTCACCCACTCACTCACTCATGTGCTCACTAACTCACTCACTCATCCACTTAATCACTCATCCACTCACCCACCCACCCACTCACCGACTCACTCATTCACCCATTCATCCATTCAACATCTCAATCACTCACCCACTGACTCACTGACTCACTCACTCACTCACCACACTCATCCACCAACTCACTTTCCCACCCACTCAACCATTCACCCACCCACTCATCCACTCACCCACCCACTCACCAACTCATCCACCCACTCACCCACTCAGACACTCACCCATTCACCCATCCACTCACTCATCCACTCACCCACCAACCCACATACTCACTCACTCTCCCAGCCACTCACTCATCCATCCACTCACTCACCCACCCACCTACTCACCCACCCACTCACCCACCTATCCGACCACTCACCCACCCACTCAATCATTGATCAACTCACTCATTTACCCACTCACTCAATCACTCACCGACTCACTCACTAACCCCCTCATCCACTTATTCACCCACCTACTCACTCATCCACTAACTCATCCACCCATTCACTAACTCATTCACCCACCCACCCACTCACTCAACCACTCACTCACTCACTCACCCACTTACCGACCCACCCACTAATCAACTCACCAATTCACCCACCCACCCACTCACTCACCCACTCACCCACCCACCCACTCACTCCCCCACTCACCTAGTCACGCACTCACTAACACAATCACTCACTCATCCAATCACGGGTCCACTAACTCACTCATCCACTCACCCACCCACCCTATCACCCATTCACTCACCCTCTCAGTCACTTACATACTCACCCACTCACCCAACCACCCACTCATCCATCCACAAACTCACCCACTCACCCACTCACTCACCCACTCACCAACCCACTCACCCACTCACCCATTCACCCACCCACTCACTCACCCACTCACTCACTCACCCACTTACCCACGCACTCACCCACTCACTGAACCACTCACACACTCAATCATTCATCTACTCACCCACTCACCCACCCACTCACTCATCCACTCACTCACTCATCCGCTCACTAACTCAACCACTCACCCACCCGCTCACCCATTCACCCATTCATTCACCCACTCACTCACTCATCCACTCAATCACTCATCCACTCACGCACCCACTAACCCATTCACCCACTCACTCACCCTATCAGTCACTCACATACTCACCCACCCACTCACCCATTCACCCACCTACTCACTCACTCACCCACTCACTCACTCATCTACTCACCCATCTACTCACTCATCCACTCACTCATCCACTTACCAACCCACCCACTCACCGACTCACTCATTCACCCATTCACCCACTCAATCACTCACCCACTCACTCACCCACTCACTCACTCACTCACCACACTCATCCACCAACTCACTCACCCACCCACTCAACCATTCACCCACCCAATCATCCACTTACCCACCCACTCACCAACTCACCAACCCACCCACTCACCCACCCACCCACTCACTCACCCACTCAGACACTCACCCATTCACCCATCCACTCACTCATCCACTCACCCACCAATCCACATACTCAGCCACTCTCCCAGCCACTCACTCACCCATCCACTCACTCACCCACCCACCTACTCATCCACCCACTCATCCACCTATCCACTCACTCACCCACCCACCCACTCAATCATTGACCAACTCACTCATTTACCCACTCACTCAATCACTCAACGACTCACTCACTAACCCCCTCATCCACTTACTCACCCACCTACTCACTCATCCACAAACTCATCCACCCACTCACTGACTCACTCATTCACCCATTAACTCACTCACCCACTCACTCACTAGCCCACCCACTCACTTACTCAATCACTCATCCACCAACTCACTCGACCACCCACTCGACCATTCACCCACCCACTCATCCACTCACCAACCCACTCACCTACTCACCCACCGACTCACCCACCCACTCACTCATCCACTCACCCACATACTCACCCACTCTCCCAGCCACTCACTCACCCACCCACCCACCAACTCTCCAACCCACTCACCCACCTTTCCACCCACTCACCCACCCACACACTCAATCATTGACCAACTCACTCACTCATTTACCCACTCACTCAATCACTCACCGACTCACTCACTAACCCCCTCATCCACTTACTCACCCACCTACTCACTCATCCACTCACTCATCCACCCATTCACTAGCTCACTCACTCACCCACTCAATCACTCATGCCCTCACTCACTCACTCATCCACTCTCTCACTCAATTACTCAATCACCGATCTACCCACTCACTCATTCACCCACTCACTCACCCACTCACTCATCCACTAACTTAATCACTCACCCACTCATTCACTTAACCACTCACCTATTCACCTATTCACTCACTCACCCACTCACTCACTCACCCACTCATCCACTCACCCACTCACTTACCCACTCACTCACCCACTCACCCACCAACTCCCCGACTCACTCTCTGTTGAATGTACGCAGAGGTACCAATGATATTCTGAGTCTACACAGAAACTCACCCACCTACTCAACCACTCCTTCGCCCATCCATTCACTCACTCACCAACGAACTCACTTACCCATTCACCCATTCACTCACTCACCCTCTCACGCACTCACTCACTCGTCCACTCACCCACTCACTCATCCACTCACCCATCCACCCACTCACTCACTCACCCACTCACTCACTCACGCACTTACCCACTCACCAACTCATCCACTCACCCACTCACTCACCCACTCACCCACTCATCCACTCACCCACCCATCCCACTCAACCACCCACTAACTCACCCACTCAGACACTCACAAATTCACCCATCTACTCAATCATTGACCAACTCACTCACTCATCTACCTACTCACTTAATCACTCACCGACTAACTCACTAACCCACTCATCCACTTACTCATCCAGCTACTCACTCATCCACTCACTCATCCACCCATTCACGAGCTCACTCACTCACCCACTCACTCACTCATGCCCTCACTCACTCACTCATCCACTCTCTCACTCACTTACTCACTCACTCACCCATCTACCCACTCACTCATTCACCCACTCACTCATCCACTAACTTAATCACTCACCCACTAACTTAATCACTCACCCTTTCACTCACTTAACCACTCGCCTATTCACCTATTCACTCACTCACCCACTCACCCACTTACCCACTCACCCACTCATCCACTCACCCACTCACTTACCCACTCACTCACTCACTCACCCTCTCACCCACTCACTCACCTACTCACTCATCCATTCACTCACTCACTCATCCACTAACTTAATCACTCACCCACTCACTCACTTAACCACTCACCTGTTCACCTATTCACTCACTCACCCACTCACTCACCCACCCACTCACTCACTCACTAATCCACTCATCCACTCACCCACCCACCCACTCACCCACTCACTCATTCACCAATCCACTCACTCATCCACCCATTCACTAGCTCACTCACCCACTCACTCACCAACTCACCCACCAACTCCCCGACTCACTCTCTGTTGAATGTACGCAGAGGTACCAATGATATTCTGAGTCTACACAGAAACTCACCCACCTACTCAATAACTCCTTCACCCATCCATTCACTCACTCACCCACTCACTCACTTAACCACTCACCTATTTACTCACTCACCCACTCACTCACTCACTCACCCACTTACTCACTCACCCACTCACCCACTCATCCACTCACCCACTCACTTACCCACCCACTCATCCACTCACCCACTCACCCACCCACTCACTCACTGACTCACCTACTCATGCACTCACTCACTAACCCAATCACTCACTCATCCACTAACTTACTCATCCACTCACCAACGAACCCACTTACCCATTCACCCATTCACTCACTCACCGACTCACGCACTCGCTCACTCGTCCACTTAACCACTCACTCATCCAGTCACCCATCCACCCACTCACTCATTCACCCATTCACTCACTCTCTCACCCACTCAGTCACTCACCTATTCACCCACCCACCCACTCACTCATTCACTCACTCACCCATTCAGTCACGCACCTATTCACCCAATCACCCACTCACTCACCCACTCACTCATCCATTCACTCATTCACTCACTCACTCACTCATCCACTAACTTAATCACTCATCCACTCACCCACCCACTCATCCAATCACCCTCTCACCCATTCC